CTTCAAACCCGGAATTCCCCTTCCAAAAGACGGTCACAGACCTGTTTGACATGCATGGAAAAAGCTATATGGTAAACGAGACCGGCACACGGCTGGATCAAGTGGCCCCACTTCCTTCAGGGAAAGCAACAGCAATATGTGATGCTAAGGAGTTGGTTTTGTACATATGGTTCGCCTGAGGAAATATCATCGGACGGGGACCACCATTCGACTCTATGGCATATAATTCATTCCTAAAAGATTGGGGTGTAAAAAACGCATATCATCCCACACACTATCTGCAAAGCAATGGCTGAGCCGAAGCTGAGCCGAGCTGAGCTGGCCAGCGCCGTAAAACAGCCAAAAGAACACTGATGGACAGTGTCGATGGGTATGGTCACTGCGCCATGATCGGATTTGCGCAATGATGTCACACAGGAACACACCTCATCAGGACCTTGGCCCGTCGCCAGCAGAAATGTTGTACGGTCGACCAATAAAAGACCACCTCCCCTTACTCCATTAAAAGTACCAGATCCACAAACAGTGGAGGGAGACAAAGGAGTCGAGAGAAAGAGTGATGGCAAAGAGGCACCTGCTAAATCAAAAGCAGTACAATACGCACAGCCACCCACTCCAAGAGCTTCAGGTTGGTGAATCTGTGCAGGTACAAAATCAGGAAGGGCCATATCCAAGGCGATGGACGAAAACGGGGAGGGTCATCGAGACCATGGGCAATAGACAGTACCGCATACGATTGGATGGCAGTGGCAGAATTACACTACGTAATCGTCGATTCATCCGGAAAATCTTCCCGGTAGTAGATATACCAGACTATTCGCCTGAACAATCAACACCACAACCACCCCCACAGAGACCGAGACAATTAGTATTGAACCCCCTAGGGATATACCGGAAATGATGGAGGTAGATGTGACTGATGATGAGGTGATAGTGGACCAGGACCACACAGATATGGAAGTGGAGGAAAACCAACACCCATCAAGCCCCATTTTACAGCGAAGCACGAGAGTTACACGGCCACCAAGACCATTGGCCCCACAAATGCGGAGTCCAATGCATGAGTACTCAGAGCTATCCAGACAAGTGACCACAAAATCTAGGTATTGTGGTCATAGGAGGGTGGGGGGCATGTAGAGATACAGGAAGACCGTTGACATGGGGACGCCAATTTAAGAACACCGGTAGTCCTCAGGTCAGTATAAATACTGCTAGAATATCGAGTCAACTGTACAAAGTGGACAAAATCTGTGACAAACTATGTCCAAACTTGGCTTTTGCCAATTAGCCATTTGTTTCTTCATATGATTCCATCCTAAACTGGCATTCAAACAAAATGATTACATTTGTGAACAATGCCATACTATTTGAAAGATATTATGGCCATAGGAAACTTACTGAATATCTAAAACATCGAAACAATTTAACCATAAGCAATGTCCACAGAAGAAGGTTTTGTCGATGAAATTCCTTTAAGAATAATCAAACACTTGCAAAGGACATACTGTAAAAAAGATGAGTGTGAGTAGCTTAGTATACAAAACAGATGATACATGCAAGCAGGGATGCAGGCAGACATTTCTTGACAGGGAGGTGTGGTTATACAATTGCAGCCATATACACCCATGTGACACTGGGTACCTTGGCTAGTAACTTCTAAAATGATCAAGTTGGATATCAGCATTATTTAGCTTTCAATTTTCTAATATTTTAAAAAATTTATTGTAAAATTTGCTAAAATTGCTTACATCTCTTTAAAACAAATCGATGGATATGTTTTTACTGTGTTATTGCACTACTACTATTTGTAGTACTGCTATCTGACTACTACTATTTGTAGTACTACTATCTGACTACTACTATTTGTAGTACTACTATCTGACTACTACTATTTGTAGTACTACTATCTGACTACTACTATTTGTAGTACTACTATCTGACTACTACTATTTGTAGTACTACTATCTGACTACTACTATTTGTAGTACTACTATCTGACTACTACTATTTTTCCTTTTAATAAAATTAAAACATCTTGATTCATTTTAGAAATTATTAACTCTTTTAGAGAAATTCATTTTTAGACAGTAAAACTTATCAGTGATTAAATTTTTTTTACATAAGAGTGAAGACCCTTTATTATTTATTTATTTATTAAGTTATTGTGATAATTCATACTTAATTCTAATTAAACATCTGTAAGCAAATTTAAAATTTGGATTTAATTTTTATTGACTGTTCTGCAGAAACAGGTACTCCTTGTACCTTGTCAAAATATATGCATGAGTCAAACCACAATATATAGAATAATGCCTTTCTGCTTAGAGTATTATCATTGCTATATATATATATATATATATATATATATATATATATATATATTATATATATATTTTAGGGTATTTCTTATTTTTGAAGTGCATGCTGAAATCGAATTGTCACCCCTAAATTTGTTCCATTCATTGAAAAAAACCCACATATAAAATTTTAAGGAGATTACATAATATTTAGTGGGCACCTTTGCTTGTTAGAAGTAAAACTTAAAATATATAAGGTGAACAAAAAAATAGACCCTTTTTATATTTTACAATTAATAACAAAGTATTAATTGAATCTTTACAAATTATGCACATTATAAAATTAGAAACATTTTTATCTAACAGTGAAAAATTTAAATTTTAACTGATGTTTATTTTCAGACCCCAATTATGGCAAGTGTATTCAATACCAAGCAGAAAAGTGTAGTTTTTTAAAGATTTCTGATGATAAAGTAAAGCATGTCAACTGTAGCTAGGTACTTAAGTGATTTATATAAAGAAATTGTTCTCTTCATTGTTTAAACTCTTACCCAAATTTTTAAATAAAAAGGATATCCAACTTTTTTCATAAGCTTTTCTATTCATTTCTCTAATAAATCTTTTATCAAGAAATGTACTTTGTTCATTAAGTTTCCCAAACCAACCTCGGGGCATGAAAATAATGAATTTTATTCATTGTAGGTATTGGAAATTTAGAACAGTATTTTGTATTGTATCAGAATCTCTAAAAAAATATCTGTATCATCTCATCAATAAAATTAATACATAATAAAAATTAACAGCAACATTAATTCACTTTTGTTTAATATGCCAAAAATTTACATCACTTAGCATCTTCCATAGTTTACCTTTCTTTTACATAGATAAGATCTTAAAACATTTTAGGCCATTATCTAATTCTAAATTTGAATGCTTAATGTAATTTTTCTCCACATTATTTCTGTGTATAAATACAAGTTATTAAATACAATTTGCTTGCTTGCCTGGATAAAGTTTCTCACAGAATGAAAGATATTTCTACTTGTCATTTCTTATATATCTCCCCCACTCTCATACAAAGAAAGGTAAATACGCATGAATTTCAATATGAAATTTTCACTGAATAATGTTTTAAGTATCTGGTTAATTTTTCTTTTTTTAACATTCAAAATGATCCCCCAGTACAAGGTACAAGAGTCACTCAAAGTAAACAGTTAGTGAATGAGGTTGTAGGGATGTCAGAGGACGATGTAAGAAGTGCAGATTACGAGGATATGTAGGATAGCTAATGCTTGACTCTAGACCTGATGAGGTTAAGATTGTAGCAATTGGAAAAGCATCCTCTTGGGAATTTGTTCCACAAAGTCATGGTTCTCAAGAAGAAGCTACCTTAATGGAACTTCCTTCTTACAAATGAAATAGGAATGTAATGAGAATGATTAAACCTTGTGTACATGGCATGGCAGGTACTAGCTGTGAAGGTTTCAACTAGTGATAGGTCTGCAAAATTTTGTCTGTGGGAAAGGGGTTGAAAAATAATTCATCACCTAGACTACATAAATATTGTGAACTCTATCTAGGCTGGAAAAGATTGGGCAGTTCAAGCCCAGATATGGCAGAAATACTCCATTTTTGGTCTGATCTAACTCTTGTAAAGATAAAACATGGTAGGAGGACTCCATTATTTACTGGACTTGTACAACTATTTTTCCAGCATTTTTAACAATGTATTGTATATATGAGTTCCACTTGAGATCTAAGGTAAGCCTGAGTCCCAATAGATATTCAAAGCAAGGAGCTTCATTAACAATACAAACACTCATCATGACAAGAAAATTCATGGAATGTTACGAGCTTGATTTTGAAGGTATTGAATGTTACAAGCCAGTGCTCCCACTTCATAGAGCAATTAGAGCAAGAACAGAAAAGAGATCAGTTGCCAGGCCTTGCTCATCTAGATTTTTGGAGGTGCACCCAAAAACTGTGATATCATCTGCATAGATATTTACTTATGATCTGAGAATGTTCATGGGTAGATCATTAATATAATGCAGAAAGAGGGTAAGACTCAAGAGAGAGCCTTGGGAGAAACTTGCATGATCTCATGGGCTTAGAAGAGTTGCTGTTTGCATAGTAACAACCCCCTTGTCAAAGGCCTTCGAGATATCTAACACAATCTCATAATGACTATTATTGAGTGCTTCATTGATTCTGTGTGTAATGACAGAAAATCAGCATTGGCCTGCGAGGAGTGAAACCCATACTGTTTGTACTCGTTTGTGTTGAAGTGATCAACAACCTTCTTGTAAATAGACGCAAGAAATTTGCTCATATTGCAATGGGGATGAATGAGTACCAGCATTTTTGAAAACAAGGCAACATTTCTCTTTCAGGAGCAGTTGAACAACTTTGCTAAGATTGGAGATAATTCTGGGCTAAGATTAACAGTAAAGCAAAGGACTAAGTATTAAAAAATATTTGTTGTATAAAATAAATGCTTTTTTTATCATTAGACTAGAGAATTATTGATCAACATGCAATTAATATTGACAAATGAATTAAGTACACTGAAAAATAATGGGATGTTGAAAAAGATTTGTTGTGTAAATATAAAGGCTTCTTCTTGCCATTAAGCTACAGGCTCATTGAAAAATGTATGAATAATGCACTGAAGATGAGACAGAAAAACAAAAAAGTATTTACCTTAAAAATAACATTTCTTCACCAGCACATCTCCAGGAAATAATTGTAGCTCCTGTCAATAAAAAAAGTAAATTGCATTATAGATTTTTTTTTTTTTTACACTCTAAAAAGAAAGAAAAGAAAATCAGATTGTAACCACATAAATGAGGGTTGAAAATTAATCCATGTAACACAGTCCCTCAAATATGATCAAATAACAATAACATTTTTTGTGAGGTAGGGTCAAGATTGTTTCAGTTACTCTTATACTAGCAAAAATATCATATGTATAAGCCAACTTCATGTACAGTACAAACCCTAAAATTTTTCGCATTAATTTTGACACCCCCATTGACCCCCCTAAAAAAATTTTTAACAAAAATGCATGATTTTTTTTTTAACCTCTTCAAAAAAGAAAAATTACCTGTGTATAATGCAAGCTCTATATTTTGTATAAAAAAATGAAAATAAAAACTGCCACTATACTCAAGTATATATGGTAATTAAAACTTATAAAATAATACTAAGCTGTGCAATGCTTACAAGTTATTTGATTAAATGATTGTTTACCAATGACAAATAATGTTGTTGATGAGATTCACAGATGAAAAGAATCAGTTTTATATAATTTTTTCAAATGAAATGCCATTGTGTTTCTTGTATTCTCTGCAAAAGTTAAATTTAAAAAATGAAAAATATATAAATAAAATAAATATAAAACACTTTCAATCCTCACTAGCATGACAGTGGTTGTGGGGAGATCAGGTAAATACCAATATTCAGACTGCACTGTGTGTATTGGTATCAATCGTTGATATCTTGGCAACCCTGCACTAATATAACTCTTACTGTACCATTTTCATGAGATTATAGTAACAAATCCAGAATTTAAAATAATAGTGTTCAGGTTTATCAGTTTTATGTAAAGTAGAGTTTTAAAGTTTGTTATTTTTTCAGAATTAAGTTTAAATGAGAAACCGATTCCTGACAGATGAAAGATAATCAAGCAATATAGAGAGTGTGATGGATAAATTGTGGTCTAAATTACACAAAAATTAAAAATAACACTAACATATGATTTTAACAAATATATTTATCAAAATTATACAAAAATATCTTGAAATAATAAAGAGTAAATTTATTCAATAAAAATCGCCATTGCCTTCAACCACAGCCTCCAGACGACACTGAAATTTCCTGCAACTCTTCTGGATAGTCTCCTTGTTTAAGCTGGTGAATGCTGCAATAATCTTTGCTTTCAGTTCATTTTGGTATTACAAGGAGTTTTTGAACTGCGCCCCACACAATAATTAAGAGGATTGCAGTTTGGGGAGTTAGGTGACCAAATGTAAGGGGTAATGAAGTCCCAGAAATTGTGTGACAGCCATGACAAGGTTCTCCAGCTTATGTGGTATGGTGCAGAGTTTTGTTGCCAATAGTGTCTTCCAGGAGCTACCCTCTTGACCTAGGGCAGCACAATCTCCTCAAGGTACTTGATGTAGGCTCCCCTGTTAAGTCTGAGGTCCTGTAGAAAAAAAATGAATGGAGGCATAACATCACCATCACTAGTGATCACTCCAAACACCTTAGTAATCACCATTAGACTCATCCATCTCTTTTCGAATCCTTTGCAATGTCCTCAGATTGACACTCAAACACTCTGAAATGTTCATATTGGAGCTTCCAGCACAATTGCTAAGCAGTACAGCATGGCATTTTCAAATTTCTGGCAGAATGAATTGTGTCACAGTGCTCTTTTTCTCAGAGATGGTGCCCAACTGACCCTACTGTGAGGTCAACAAAATCAAAAACAAACAACACGCATGCACAAAATTAAAAAAATAAAATAGTAACAATTTACCTATTGCAACCTGTATATATCTTAAATGTTTATAATACTTACCTGTGACTTTCCATTTGTTATTCATCAGAATCAAACAAAAATATTTTATGGTTGACCCTGATGGACAGTAACAGTTTGAAACTTTTAGTCGGTCACAGTTAAATATTGTGAACATTTTATTTAGTGATAATAATTATTGCATGACTTGTAATGGAGAATCAGGTCAACCTGACAAGAGACCCAGAGTTGGTTGCATTTGTTCACCTCTGCTGTGGCCAGGTATTGAACTGATAACTCTTTTTTCCTAGGTGTTAGTATTACTACTATTATTATTATAAATTTTATTTTCTTAGTACACAAATTACTAATGAATGAAACAAGATGTCTAAACATCTTTCATCTTTAGTTTTACATTTATTCGTATGGATGGAGAGAAATGGAACAATTTACAATATTTTACTTTTGTGATATGATACATCTTGTCAGGCATAGTCTTTTCTCTCTCTTTCTCTAAGGTGGATTACACAATTTTATGCTGTTGCTATTCCTTATTGATGTCATGCAATAAAAGACTTTGAATAAAGGAAGCTCTCTTCACCTGTGAATATCTCTTTTTGCATCATTGCTTGCTGTTTCACACAGAAAGGTTAAAATTGTTGCAGACATCAAAGAGAGAAATTACTTGTTCTTTTACTGATTCAGTAACATGTAATTGTGAATAATGCATGAGTTTCCACAAGCTGGGCTTTGGAAGAAGAAGCTTTTTTTTAATTTATTTATTTTACTTCTATCACAAGACAGAAAATAATCACAATGATCCAATACACTGTTCTATTCAATTTTTTTTTCCCAGTGCATGAACTACATTAGATAACATGTGACATTCTTGAAATAATGCTATTTTTTTCTTTGTGTGTTGGAGATTTTTTTTTCCTGCATACTATAGTTACATTTTAAGAAAACTAAATTCTGTCTTAAAAATGCTAAGAAATTTAAGATGAAGATATTTTCGTTTTTTTCTAGCATGAAAACCTAAACACCAGCTTCTGCTAATTGTTCATTATATAAGTGTTTTTATTTTTAAAAAATCTTTTTTTAGATTTAAATTTTAAATGTTTATCTTTTTAGTTCAGGTCCACCTATTGTCCAGTTTACACTCCTCCTCAAATTTTTGAACAACAGTAGAAGTTTATTCCTTGTTTAGAATTGGGTTTCCGGTTCCTTCTAAAGTCTACTTAAACTCTATATTTCTAATATCACCACCTAACCACTGAAATTTTATTTTCTATTTATTTAATTTTCCTCAATAGGAGTACATAGGTTCACCTATCACCTGGTTCACACTCCTTCTGGTTTTCTGAACAAGAATAAAGGTTCATTCCTTGTTTCCTGTTTAGGATTGAGTTTTCAGTTCCTTCTTAAGTCCTTCCATTCTCTTTCATTGTAAGTAGCCCTTTGCATTATAGTGGCATTTACCTTACTTTCAAATATTGTTATACTAGTTTACACTGATTTTACTATTGTATGGACTGTAATGCCACAAAAATATCAAGTGCCTAAATACAAATTCCTAATTTGAAAAAATTGCTTCTATCTTGTTCATATTGCTTATCCTGAAAAAGGCATAAATGTTTGATATTCAACTAATATCATATAGTATAAGCTTCTAAAAGTAATATTTAAAGATTTAAGACTTGGAAAATGATTTTCCAATCATCACCAACTTGAAAATAAGTTCTCTAAAACATCCTGTCATGCCTTATATATAATTAAGATGGGTGGGCATGACTCAACTACCTCAGTCAAAGTGTAAAAGAAAAAAAAAGAAATGGTTAAATTTAAAACATGACAAAAATTTTAGTAATTGAATACAATTTTTCTTTTTTTTTTTTTTTTTTACTTTATTCTTACTAAAAGGAAGAGTGTTACAAGAAATCATTCTAATCACACATTTTTGAAGTTCAAGATTAATTTGTGGATGCCTCCCAAAAGCAGAAGGATTATCAAATGGGATTTTTGTCATACTTATCATTATAATCTATGGCTAGTTTTGCTTCCTACAATGCTTCTGGCCATATCACATTCAAACACCAGTTCTCATACAATCACTGAAATTAAGCAACATTGAGCCTGGTCAATACCTAGATGGGTGACCACTTGGGAATACCAGATGCTGTAAGCTTGGATGTGTGAATTGTATGGTTTATGGCCATATTACACTGAAATACCAGTTCTTGTACCATCACTAAAGTTAAGCAATGTCGAGCCTGGTCGGTACCTAGATGAGTGACCACTTGAGAATACCAGGTGCTGTAAACTTGAATGTGCAAGTGGTATAATAGATAACAGCTTGGAATTGAAAATTGAAGAGCCAAGTTCCAATTCCAGTTGGATTTATTATATTCACTTATGTGCCCTTAGGAAAGGTATGAATCTACCTAGTCTCTCTCAAGTTATGGGTTAACTAATAGGACTTGTATCAATAAATCATTATTATCTCCAACAACTTCTTACACTAAAAATATTTTCTAGCATTCAAATAACCGGCAAAAGGTTGATAAGCTAAAAAAATTAAAAAATAAAAATCACTCAATCTGCCTCCTGCATTACAACCACTCTACACACCTTTAGTTATTTTTCCACTATCTCTTGTTTTCGATGCTTAATGCTATGAAAATTAAAAATACTTGTAAAATGCATCCATTGAATGATAAAGAGTTATAAATGATGCCTTTTGTCACAAAAGAAAAAATTGTTTTAGATCAGCTTGCAGAGCAGGTCTTGGATTTCACTCTCCAGCAAATAAAAATGGAAACAGTAAACAATGAAAGTCACTTTATGCTCAATAATTGCTTCATAGCACATCAAGAAGAAAAAATATGCTTAATTCAAAAGAATAAGACATTTCTAAATGCTGTATTTGGATAATGTTAAAATAAACAGTAAAACTAGAAAAAATGTATATTGAGACATAATTCCACATAAATAATTGCTTCTAATCAAAGAAAATTTCAGTAAGCAACAGAATTAAAGAAAATTTATTTTTACCACTTTTATAAACATTCAAATGTCTTCAAAAATATAATACTGAAATGTATAAAAATTATAGCATAAAAATATTTCTTCTTGTATTAAAATTAATCTAATATCTTAAGATTTAATTTTTCATAAAAATAGTTACATTGAAAACAATAAAATTAGAAAATCCTCCTGCAAACATTCACTAGAATTAAACCATCAGGTGATCAAAAAAAATTAAGGTACAAATATGCAGAAAACTTGAAATGATTACTTTGTTACTTATTTTAGTGCATCATTTTACTTAGAACTATTGCCACATGACACAAACAATAGTCAGTGCATTATTTAATCAATTAGCCATAAATAATCAACAGCACCTTTTTATAGCCATCTGTCACATATATTATTACCAACTAAGACTGATTTTACTTTACACATGAGTAGCAAAGTAATTGTTTTAAGTAACAGGGTTAATCAAAATATAATTTGTTACAGAACAGTAATAATTTCAGATACTATTGTTTTGTTTTTTTTAGATGATGGCATGAAAAGTTCTCAGCCCAACCCATTTCACAAAATCTGACCAAATGATCAAACATTAGATTTTTTTTTAAGGTCTTCTTAGTGGGTTCAAGAACTCTTCAGCACTTCCTCACTTTACTATAACAGGAACTGAATTGATTTAATAAGCTGTACACAATGGCCTTTTCAGATCAATAGTAAAAAATAAGTTTGAGCAAATGAAACCAGTAGGTCTTAAAGAGAACCATCCTTCAAACCATTGTGGACTGAATCACTAACAAAGAACAGTACCAAATAACAAAAACCACATCACTTGAGGACTTTCAACAGCAGCAACAACTAAAATAGATATCATGTAACTTGAAGAGAAAATAATGTCATAATAAAAATGCTGACACTTTCTAGGACTATGTCAGTGAGTTGATGGCTTGTATCACTCCTGATAGGCTTGCGCTTATCAACCTTGTATACATACATGATAATGTCTCACCCCTGTATTCTGGGATGAAACAAATTGTTTCTAATGCTGCTAGCCATGGTGCAAATGGTGATCTGGATTTTGCTCTTGTGGTAAATGGATAAATTGTATTTGATGGATGGGTCATGATTGTGATTAACTAAGACCAGGATAGTTAGCAGAGACCAGCATTTCTCCATTAGTGCCAGAATTACTGTATTTTTCAGTAATAAATATATATTTAATCTAAGTTCTGAAAAAAATAAATAAATGTATGAAAAATACCTAGGTGTCTTTTGGAACACACACATTATATATATATATATATATATATATATATATATATATATATATAAAGGGCTGGCAATGGTTGTACAGTCAGTGTTTCCAATTTCCCGCCGATATTCCTATGTATATCTTTCTCTCCTCAACCTTCTCTTTGGGGAAAATTGTTGCTTCATATATTATATTTTCCGCCATGCATATTCCTTCAACTGGGCACTCTGATCCTGTCCTGCAGTTGCATGTTGATGTTTTCATTTGGGTTGTATTATGATTTTGTATTAGATTATCATGAAGGTCTCTCAAGATTTTACTATTGTGTGAGTTAATAATTTTTTCTATATTGTTCATACAAGAATAGCTAATCTTTAAATTCATCTTGTTGAACATCTTTTTTAGAAATGCATTTTTACTAAAGTGTTTTTCTATCAGTTTTATGAAGTATTTACCTATATTAATATTAGAGAGGTTACAAAAAAGTGGTTTGAACCATATAATTTTCATTTTCCTATTTTTGGGTTTAGTGGATTTTTTATTAACTGACTTGTCTATATAATTTAGTGTCTGTTTAAAATTACTTTTTAATAGGGCTTTATTATATTCCAATTTATTTTGGTTAAAAATGGTTTTACTAGAGGAAAGTTAATTTATTCTTGCATTTACTGTATTTGGAATTTGTTTAATTATTGATTTCGGGTGATTAGAGTAGATATTTATATATATGGGTGATTGGTTTTCCTTTTGGAAGGGTTTATAAGTGTTATTGTTCAGATTAAATGTAACGTCTAGGAAGTTTACTGTTTTTAAGTTGAAAGAACTTTCAATTTTAAACTCTAGAAATTTGAAAGCTTTAATTATTTTCTTTTGCAGTTGGGACCATTGGTATCAGGTACAGCAACTAATCCGTCATCTCTGTATAGTCCTATATTTTGAGGGTCAAGGAATCTACTTAGGATATCTAAAATATACCTATTAGGTCAGCTATTTGAGCTGAATCAAATGATCCCATTGGGACATCGAAGTTGTCCCTGTCTTTTTTAATCCAAGTGGTGTTGTTCAGTTTTAGTATGGACTGTCTAGAGTTCATTATGATTTTTATTTCTTTGTCAGTAATATCAGTGTGGATTTTGGCAAAACTTAAGCTATTTTCTAATAACTCTTTAGAAATCGATAATATCCAATTGGATAAAAGTAGTTTTATTTTTAGGAACCAGTTAATGGTGTCAGATGAATCTTTCCAAAGGTTTAATGGGTATTTTGTTAATGAGATTTATATATATATATATATATATATATATATATATATATATATATATACATACATACACACACACACATACACTTTAGCTTTAAACTAAATAAAATTCATTGATTACTATCAAATCAGCATCTCAAAATTGAGTTAGTATCTACTTTAGATAAGTTTCTAAGCAAGATTTTTCAAAAGGGTATAGTGCATTCAGTGTCATCAAAAAACTTAACAAGCTATTGAGAAACTGGAAAATTGTTAAAAACAAACAAATTCTGAACTGTCACATAACATCAATCCTCCTATATGGTAGAAGATGCTGGACAATCTCTTAGCAGAAGAGGATTGATTGCATTTTTTTTTATTTTTATGGCTTATCAACCATTTACAAGTTATTTAAAGGTATATGCACATAAGTGAATATAACGAATCTATCTGAAATTGGAACACTGCTCTCCAATTTCAAGCTGTTATCCATTATACCACCTACACAGCTTACCATAACTGGTATTTCCAAGCAGTCACTTATCTACTTTGGTGATCATATGAGAAACCAGGGTTTAAACATATGACCATAAACCCAAATGAAGATGAGACTTGAGGCAACAGAGATGTGGTTCTACAAAAGGATATGAAGAATACCATGGATAGAGCACGGAAGCAACAATGAAGTTTTAAGGAAAATGAAAACTGGAATAAAAAAGAGACAGTTCAAATTTCTAGAATACATAAGGAAAGAAGGCTTGTAGTATTTGACACTTATAGGACATACTGAAGACAAGAGGAGCAGATGGAAACAGTGAGAAACCTACCTAACAAGATTGTATAAATGGATGGCAGAACATAGACTGGGAGGGATAGTACAGAGATGAATGCTGATAAGAGTTACAAAGGATAGGACATTGTAGAGAGCCATGATTGCACATGTCCTGAAAGGACATGGCATATAGAAGTACATTCAGAATTTAAATAAATCAATGTATAAAAATAAAACAAAAATATATTTCTAATGCTGAAATTTAAAAATTGTCTACACTCTGAACATTGAACACTAGATATGAATTTAGTAAGAGGAAAAACAGAAAGGTTGAAATTCATGATATTTGCTTTTCCTATTAAAAAAAAAATTTTTTTTTAATTTTTGTTTCTACATCATTAGGTCCATAGCTAAAGGAAAACATTAAATACAATGACCTCTCTGGCAGCAAGAACTCTTGAGGGGCATGGAATTACCCCTTAATTGCTGTTGTTCCCAGGCCCACCATGACCTGAGGTGGTAGTACCTGTTAGGGTCTCAGCTATGGGCAAATAGTGAACTAATAAACAAAAACAACTACGAAAATATAAAATCACATTTTTATAGTAAAAATACTAGCAACACATTTTTATATATACATATAAAAAAAATATCAACAATACATTTTATCTATAGTATTCAAAATATTTAGATTTTGGCATTAAATAACCCACAGAGGTGTTGATATGCTGCTAACCAATCAATCAATCAGCACAATGTCCTCCTTTCTTTCATAATCAATAGAATATTCAGATGAAAATTTCAGACCAAAATTAAGCAAATAACCATGTCCTAATATTTTATTTCTTATTGCTCATATGTGATAATCAAAATTAATCAAAATGGTTTTTTTTTTTTACAAGAAATAATTAATTTATTGTGTATATTTAATTAATATGAACAATTAGCACAACAATGTATTTCTGATCAGTTATTAATCAAGGGCTCATAAAAGTAGTCTTCTGAAACACTGACTCTTTTTTGGCATA